ATAAGGAAACCTGGTATATTTTGAATATAGTATATATTAGATTGTAATAAAATAAGCCATTTTTATTTCTTGAAGTGGAATTTACAGTGGCGATGACAAAAAATAGTATCAGTTAAAATCATCAGCGTCGTAAAATAATAAAAAATACATTTATGATAAATGCTAAATCTTTGAGATACATTAACTAAAAACGACCAATTGTTTCTCTCAATAATTAACACCTCTTACGGTATGACGGACATCGTTCAAAGTTTCTCCAAAATTTGTGATGATATATATACCAAGGAAAGAAATTCAGTCTTAGAAAGGAATAAGATCAAACAAGGTTTTTGCGTTTTTATCATTATGCTGCCCTAGTAAAGGAATCTATCACAAATTTAAGTGAAAAGATTTTAAACGTTTCGAAGATGAGGAGTCGCTTCTTAAACCTATTGTCCTCTCAGGTATGCACTAGCTATTCCAATACAAAAAGAGAACCAAATTACTCGAAATACGCGATTCTTATAAAATCTTGCATTCCCAACAATTGTTTTACGAGGTTCAAGTTGAAAATATTAGTAAAGATGTTGAACGACTTACCCTTCTTAAGGTTCTTCTCTCTTATACTAAATGCCATAGGACCAAGAAGAATACAACCACATAAAAAGCCATAGGGAGTTCTGCGAAATTCTAAGAGAGCTTGACTGAGTCAGGTAATTCATTTAAGATATTCATTGGATGATTAGTCGGACATGCAACAATGTATGCACCAACTGATCAGTCAAATGTAAGGTTAGTTTGTGTACTTCGAATGAATTTTCAACCGCTTGTATTTATCAAACCTTGGTTGGCACTGTGCTTTAGTCTCATATAAACAGCCTATATTGACTTGTCCCACAGGCCTTTCTGGAAATCCTCATTCGTGCACTAAGTTATAAGTTTAATCATGTTGCGGCGGAGTTCCTACAGAACTCGCCTTAAATTACGATGCACTTTTGTAATAGATACATACCTATCTTCTTTTAACCTGATTGCAATTTATTTAAGCCTTGGATCGTGGAACGGCCGCCGATTGTTCAGGGGCATCGCACCGGTCTCTGAATTTGAGGCATATTGATCCGAGTCTTCAGAGTAGCTACATGACTTTTCTGCGCTTACAGTTGCATCCCGCTTCGCTTTTTGCTAGCACCTGTAACGATTTCTGTAGTGGCTTATTTACAGGGCACTAAAGCTCGTCGCGTTTACGAAAATGGCACCAAGTTATACTTATGAGTGTATTCTGGCCCTCAAGGGGGCTAGAGCATAACGAGTAACATATTAAGCTGTAATTCACTATGCATGAGAACTGATCCCCCAATTCTCTTCTGATCAGGGAATCACCTTAATGTTCACTTCTATCAGTTTCGCTTAAAAAATTGAAGAGCCATTTGTTTGAAATTTTTTGACCCGCGCAATTTCCACCTTAAACTGACGCTTGGTATGAACGCCTTATGCTGCACTGCCCAACGCTACATTAAGATAAGTGGGGGAGATAGTGCAATCTGATTCGTTTGGCATGCATCCTAACTTGGGCTCGTCCTAGTTTCGATATTTTGTGTCATCTACTGCTGGGAAGCATCATAATATCATTATATATCTCATCGAACATACTAGTTTATCTACAGTTCAAGTATGTCATAGGAGATATCTCTTAGACCCACGGATATGCAACGGACTTGTACTGCTGTGAGATGCAACATCATTCACGAATTGGTGAACCTCCTGTTTCATCTGCTAACAGAGTGGAGACGGTTCGTTAATTGGTTCCACCACAATTTGGAAGGACTGTCTGGGCACCGCAAAGTAGACGTCCCATCATTCCGCGACTCCGTCAGGCATAGGCAGATTTATGAATCGTTTTTACTTAGTTTCACAAACAAGAAAGTCCGGACAGCCCAAATCTTTTCATATCTACTTTAACCGGATAACCTCTTGTACCACTCAGAGGCTTAGCCTATTCAAGATGTGCCGGTACTTCCTGAGACATTGGCCATCTGGCAGCGTGTCAGAGTAGCTCAATGCATAGATAAAGTTTTGGAATATCTTTCTAACTGAGAGTCGATTGTAACTTACAAAGGCAACTGCATCCTGGATAGGACTATTAGGCGAAGAAACTAAATAAAATTGCACAATAGCAGGTAATCTTGGAGTAATAAAAATATCAACCAGCCTAGATCATGGTTTGGTCTTGAAATTTCTGACGAGCATGCGCGGTGCACAGACATCGATAAATCCGAAATAACCGCTGATGCTGCGGTGATACTCGCTCTTCGTGCACTGATTTCTCCTGTTTGTGTGCATAACGATTAGCTGATCAAATTGTTGGACTTCTGAATTGATAACAGAACCATTCTTGTAGGCAAACTGGGGTTCTGTGCTTTTCATGCATTTTGCCTGGATGACGACCTGGCCCTAGACGGGCTCGCCGTGGTTGCGCAACCATTATTCTGGATCTTCATACAAGTCTATGGTGGCCCTCAAGTGTTTCGTGAGGCCAGTTTGTGAAAACTTTCTTTTAACCCATTCAAACAGAATCAGAGGCTCTTCAACCTAACTGTATCGATAAGTCTTCAAAGTCCCAGCTTGCGTCTGTATTATGATTAAATGCGGGTCCAGGTCTTACTTCCATCCTTCGGGACCTAGTTGTACACTTGACTCAGCTCAGTGAACATGTGTGAACAAGTCTCACCTGTGGTCCATAATTTTTTGTTTTTTTCTTGAGTCTATTTTCATATACGAACGTGACCAGCAACCCCATCGACAGTTCTAATTTCATTTGTTATCAAATTGTCCCAATACTTCCCGTCAGCGAGTTAAGGCACTTCTCACGGCTTAAGAAAGTAGGGGATTCGGGCCCAAATTCGGGATGTGTCCTCGTCAAAATGATGGGTAAATGTTTTCATCTACAAGAGCAGCGAGTCCAAGACAGAATCTGCGTCCAGATAATCGTTCTGGGAGAAATTTCAACTAGCTCAATCCTGCTATCACTCTGTTAGCAATCTAGCCATAATCATCCTGTTGTGATGTTTAGATGCGTAAGGTCAACCAGAAAAGGCCAGCCATGATTACTCTCGATCATTGGTGCTGTTCTGTGTATGAATGAATGCAGCATGCGAGTGTGACCACAATTCACATCTTAGATTTAGTAGATGGGCTACCTATTTAGATGTCTTCCTTGGACAATATAATTCTGTCTAGGTGTAGATAGCTTTCTGCCCTGTAAACTAGCATAAGTCGAGGAGTGAGTAGCACTTAGCGAGCGGAGGGGGAAGTACCCAACCTTGACAACAGGTGGTGGTATAAGCCGCCTTTAGCATCCCGCGAATAAAGGCGCAAGTTCCCGAGGAAGTAGGTCTTGTACTTAACTTGCGAATTTAACTATCACCTACTGACTAGTTATGAGTCCGTGGAAGGCCACAAAGGTAGCAGTTAAATGTCTGCATTCGTAGCTAATGCTCGAGGCGCATGCATAAATTGACTATGAATCACGAGTAAGCCCCCTATCATCAAATCCATGTACTGTCAAGTCCCAGCACTGGTGGGGTAAACCGACAAGCGGAATCTTCCTAAACGCACTGTTCACACCCAGTGTCATATTTATTTGCTAACTTTAATAAAATATCTTCACTTCATGCATATTTTATATTGTATTTAGTACGAGCGGGAAGGACTACGGCCGCGATTGTGCCGAGATAGTAAGTTGAAACGTAGTACATATGCGATGGGTTGGAGTGTCTGTAGGACCAAGCTGGAATTACTTAGTAGGGCTGCTGGATGGCGTGTCTGGTTTACGTTTCTTTCCCTTTTTGGATTTTTTTTTCTTTGCCTGGCTGCGTCGTTTCGAATGAGACCTGTAAATCAATGTAAGAGACTAGAACTAACCTCTTTTTTTTATCACTCTCCTGTGTTCTGACTGCTTCTTGTTCTAAAATGATGAGGAATGATAGCATTAGATTGGGCGGATGTTTTTGTGGCGGATTATAAGAAGGGCTAATGAATAACAAAGTGGTTGGGTGTCTTTGCGTGCAATCGCTGTTCAATCCGCAGACAGATTGACAAGTTGCGGTAAAGCCCTTGTCAATAAGTCCATACGCTGTGTCCAGGCCCAAATCACACCAAAATACGAATGATAAGGTTCCTGCTAATATACCTGTGTAGCTTACCTAGTGGTAATAGTCAAATAAGAATCCACAATTAGGTGCATTAACTAAGAATAGTCTCACCTAGAAGGGCTCTCTTGGCCTCTATGATCACGTTGATTGTTTCTTCTTCACTCGACTGTGAGCTTGTGCTACTAATATCAAGAACGACATCGCCAGCGGTTTCATTTTTCAAGTAATTGCGGCACTGGAAGGTTAGGTGTCCCACTTCGAACATGAATAAATGCAAGGAATCATACCAAAACCGCACTTTTTGCAACCAACTCGGAGTGAATTGCGACTGCCACTTGACAATTTTGCTGCAAAAAAACAAGCGGTGAATCACTAGGACGTCGTAGCTGATTGTACATTGGGAGGGCTGCCATGCCCCTGACGAATGGACAAATGTGTGAGGCTGGCTACTCAAAGGTGATTATCGATAATTCTGAGTTTATCCGAAGTGCTTCCTCCCACCGAAAAGTGGATAGATTGTGGCGTGGGTGCATCGTAGCATTCATAGCTAGACTTATAGATTCAATAGAAAAACCTACGTCCTCTCCAAGGATGGAAATAAAAAATGAAGGATCAGCACCTTAATAACCCGAGAGGGCATGACTCCTGATCATTATTGCCAAACCCTTAGATTTAAAGAAATTCCATAGCTACTTTAAAATCATGGAGGCCTGATACGTTTTGTCTGTATCGGTAAAAGCATAAGAGCGTAAACTGCCTATAGGCCACAATTAAGTACAGCTACCGGTGGTTCAGTGACCCGAGGAAACAATGAAAGCGTTTCCTTAGAATTTTCAGTAATTGACGTGGGATGATAGTGTAAGCATAACCCGCATAAAGCACTGAGACAACCCGATGCGAAGATACAGCAGGAGTTCATGGCGGACACATCTGGCGCATTTAAGCGCAGCTCCAAAGAGGAATTGTAGGTTGAAGCTCCCGATTTAGCGAACGTCTGAGAACTGTACATAAGTCTGGTGACAATATAGGGCTATTTGTTTAAACGTTAAAGCCAACTTGGGCAAAAGTGTGGATGCCTGACCGGGCACAGCTTTGATTACCATCAAGTGATGGCCTGCCGGAAGTTCGGCCTCGGCTTAGATTACAGGCCAAAGGGGATCTTAATAGCATAAACGAGAAGGACCAGGCCGCGCGGAATATGATATATAAAAGCATTCGAACGAGTGGGGTGTCATTGCTGGACGGCCAGCCACGGGCAGGTTTCCCAAGGAAAGTGCTTTTGGGTCGGACAATAAATGTTGATATTTAATTTATAGGAAGATAGTAATCAGAATAATGAGTACGAGTGGTCTGGTCGATCATCAAATTTAGTACTCAAATGGCTACACAGACGAGAATATCTGAGAGATGCCATGATGAGGTAGGTAGGAATGGGTCCATGGGAGAAAGGAATCGTAAAATAGCAATCCTTGAAAATAGATAAATGAAACGCCGTAAAAATATATTCATAAGACTATATTCTGAATGATTCATGTATTAAGGTGGCAGAAAATGAAGGGAAAGTATATAAGGGTCAAACATATACTTGAATAGGAAAGTGAGGTACGTACAATCCATTCAATGCGGCGGGTGAGGATGCGTCAATCCATGCTCTAACAAATTAAAAATAAATGCGATGGCTTGTTTTAAATTATAATGTAGCATTTTCTATACAAATAAAGGATATTCATGTTTTGGGATTGAAGTTTTCCAACTTAAACATATCGATTGACATGAAGGCGCTTTCCTACGATGAAGGCCAAGCTATAAGTTTCAGCATAGTATTATAGAAATTTCGTATTATATTAATTTAAAGAAGCTAAAATATATAAATGCGTGTCAGCTTGTTTGGATTTCATATCCTTATGCTCATTTCAAAAGGCTCTTTGCAAGACATCTAATAAGATCACACATTCGTTAACAAGTACAACGTCATAATTTAATATTACTCAGGATATGTATTCTCATTTTGCTTGCTTTTAACTGAATGTTTGATAATTAATTCATGATAATTAATGGGAACGCTGTATTACTCTATATTTTCTAGCATTCTCGAAGAAGCTAAGTTAGATAGCAAAGCAATAAACTCCGGGAGTATTGTAGAGATAACATTGTTAGGGGGACTTTCATTTCGTATGAAAGTGAATTAAAAAAAGATTCGTTGGTCGATCTTACGAGATAAGGACGGATAAATCTCATTATGCTGCAGCCGTTTGGCTTTTATACGATATTCATGTTAACGCAGTGCACGAGACATCCTCCCTCCTTTCGAGGAAAAACGTGCTTATCCTTCGTCAATCACATGATGGACATCATCAGAGCTGGGTGTCCTTCTTGTAAAAGTCTTACGTTAAGACTAGGGCAAGAACACTATCCGGCTCTATCTTACTTCTTATATGGTCTCAATTGAGCCAAAACAAAATTAAAAACCTAGATAGATTGTTATAGATTGGTTTGGTTACTTATCTTTCAGACTGATCCTGTCACTTTTGCTCAAACGTATGCTTATGTGCATGTGTGCGTGTTAGCATCTATATGCAATACCAGTCATAAATCAGAGTTGCCAAAAGTTTAATCTCAGGTTGTGATCCATAAGACCTAATGACCCAAGTAAAAGCCTTGACCGAGAATGCGTTATTCCGTAAACAAGTATGGTTGAGATAATGAGATATGAGCTTGTAAGCATGAAAATCAAGTCAAGAAACTACTTGTCCCAACCTTTCAGTCTAGGGTCACTAACGTTTAGCCCCGCAAGTAAAGACAAGACTAGGTTTGCGTAATCTGACATGTCTGGTTTGGATGATGAGCTTAATCTAACATGGTAGATGAATGTGAGTGAAATTAGAACCATCACAGAGCAGACAAACTAAGTCGCCTTCTTTTTAACGGCGGCTCAACATCCTCTCTCTCATGCAATCTATCAATCAAGCATAAGTAGTTCATACCCAATTTTTTACTACCGTTCCTCATATTTAACGTATTTCCCAAGTTATTAATTTCAAAAGCCTCTCTTATCTTTCTTTTAATAGCAGATGTACCATAATCAGCAGAATTTCTAGTTTGAG